GACGATGATGAAGAAAATGAAGATGGGGGAAATGATACTGGCAGTGAGGATTTACCACAAGCTAAAAGGAAGAAATTAGATGAACAGCAGAAAAAGCAGAATGGTTTGGTTAAGGAAAACAAGAAAGTTGCAGACAAAAAGGGTAAGAAAGACAAAAAGAAGGTCGAACAGCCAGGTAATCAGCAGAAACAACAACACAAACCTGGAGGCGAACGTGTTCTCTCGGGTGGAGTTAAGGTTATCGATTTACGCGCTGGTAACGGCCCTGAAGCCAAGATTGGCAAGCGTAATCAAGTTTACTATGAGGGCCGACTCTTGTCCAATAACAAGGTATTTGATAGTATGAAGTCTGGAACTGGATTCAAGTTCACCTTAGGCCGTGGTGAAGTCATCAAAGGGTGGGATATTGGTATTGTAGGAATGAAAGTTGGTGGAAAACGTCGCATCACATGTCCCCCACAAATGGCATATGGTTCCCGTGGTTCACCTCCAATCATACCACCGAACAGTACTTTAGTGTTTGAAGTTGAACTTAAGGGTGTTAATTAAATAAGAAAAACAACTACTTATGCCAAATGGTCAGTTCTTCATTGATCATGTTGCTTGATAAATTTTTTCATTTCCTTACGGAGAATTCCATTATTATACCTCCAAATTGGAGCAAATATAGGTGTATACAAAGCAAATAATATCATCTTTATTTTTTTAATCTGTTCTTTGTATTATTACTTCGTACTCTTTTAATTATAAACTTCCTTCAATAGATGCTTCACATATTCAATAAACACTTCTTATTTTCTTTTAACAAAATTTGTTTTTATTTTCGATATCAGCCTATAGCCTCTGTTGCTAGTGCTCAATATCTTTTTTTTGTCTATGAATTCATTTCATTAGTCTAAAATTAAAATAATAATAATAATATTTTCGATATACCGAAGACTTAATGCAAAAATTTTATATCCACAAACCTACATCTATCTTGTATTCAATTCCTAAACTTGATCAAAATTTTTTTTGCTAGAATTTTTTGTTATTTCCAACCCTTTCGCACACATAACTCATGCAGCAAAAGTATTCAGTCAGTCCCCGTATCCTGGTTGAAAGGTATTTTAACAACATTATCATCAATCAGGTAATGAGTTCGAAATTACGCAATATTCCAAGTACAAAATGCTGGTGCGATACTTTCGAAGAAGTTTGAAAAAAGGGTCTAGTAATAAGTTAAGGGGATGTTAATAACGACGAAGCGATGATAATCATATCTACCTCATAGCTAAGTACAACAAAACTAGAGAAGAGATGGCTAGCGCAGGAGAAGAGAGAGAGAGATAGAAAATAAAAAGGGGAAAGCAAAATTGGCGGAAAGAAGCCCGAAATTTTCCACTGGCGCTTAAATTTATTATTTGCAATCTTAGTCTACTCTTATTTCTTTTGTATAGGTCTTTTTCAATGGTGCTTGGCTCACAAAGTTATTTAATGTTAACATAAACATCATCCCATCTCCCCGAAGTGATCGTGTAATCAAACACCTGCTTAAAGCGATTATGAATTACTAAGCGAAATTTAATTTCCATTTCAGGTCTTTTATATTGATTTTTCGCATATTAGTATCAAATCTATTAAACTTCTGAATACAGTTCGATTGTTTTCTTTTCTTGTTGAAACCTATAACTAAAATTGCCTATGTCTTGGCGTTCTCGGTCGCTCCTGCACTGACAAATAATGGCTCAGCCGGCATTTTCCAATGTTCAGTAACATAGGGTAGCCGCTCGCTGGGATCAGTACTCCAATGATGAATACGACATTTGAGACGGGCGGTTTCCACATTATTAATTGTGATGGTGCAGTAGAATTCTTTGTTTTCTTTAGTGAGATCGGGACCTTCGATTGAATCTTTCGGCAAAGTGATGCATTCTTCTTTGCAAATGTAGCCTGCCTTTCGCAAAGAGGCTTTTACATGCCAAGGTTTAATAACCCAAGGGTGATCTTTGTTCATGACTACTGCAAGTACTAGGCGTTCCAACATATTTACTGTCCTTTGCGCATACGGTGAGCTATGTTTTGCTTCGACTTTCTCCTCGATTTTTTTAGCGTATTTGGCAATATTTTCTTCCGTTTTGTACGCAGCCAAGCCAGGAAGCAGCAATTTATTATAGGCGAATGTGGGCTTCAGTGATAATACGTCTCCTTTGTCACCTACACCTTCCACAAAAGTTTTCAGTATAACGTCAATATTTTTGGGCTTCTTGACACATGTATCTTCAACTAGTTCGTAGATATGATGTCGTCCTCGCATTAATCTCGGTTTTTGATTGATTTTATGTAGTGGTGGTTCATATTTGCGCTTCAATATGTATTTGGTCTTAAAATGAAAAATAATAGATTAATAGTTCGGAATCTATGTCGAAGTCTTTCGCACTTACCCTCACTTGTTGTTGTAATCTTAAAGAATTATTGACTGACTTGACAAATTGGTAAGCAATTGTATTCAACATTTTAGGCAAATTAATTTCAAATAATAGGAGATCAAGTTTTAATTAATAAAAGAAATTTTCGATTGTCTTTTACAGTAATCAGCTGCTTTCATTTATCTCGTAATTGTGGACACGAAGTGCAATCACGTAATCATACAATCACGTACTTTTCTTTAGTTTTGCAGTTTATTCAAATATGACAAAAGATTTTAAATAAATATATGATCAGTTCAAGCGAATTTATTACCGGGTCGCTTATAATGCTTGTTCTTTACCAGATCTTCTTCATATCTACATCTTATGTATGCTTAAATGACCTGCAACTTAGCCAATGCTCTGTATTCCAATTAATATGCTCATTGTCAAGAAAAGAACAAGCAACAGAAATTTCTGTAAGGGTTTGGCCCAAAGTTTATTAACACTTATTTCCATGTATTTTGCCCATTTTTTCATTAGAAAAAGTCACTTATTGAGAAAACTCGCATTTAAACCTCTAAAAGCTGTTGACTCGTCAACTGTTAAGCTGTTCGAAAGTTCCTCGAGAGTTTGCGCCGGGTTTCCAGCCAATAAGTCTTGCAATTCATGGTTATTGAACGTTTTTGGCCCTCCAAGCAGGAATTTAAATTATGAAGAGAATCATAATTTTCTTTAAAAGGAGCAACAACAATTAAATATATATTCAAAAAAAAAAAGATAGAATAAGCACAGGAAGAGTGCCACAATGATGAACAATGTGATTTTTTTTGAATTACAACAAGGGTGATTTGAAAGTATCTAGCACATCACGCAGAGCAAATAAAAGAAAGAAAGCTTGAAGGAAATGTCTTGTAGGACAATAGCTGTTGTCTATCGCCTTACCTAGGCAAGCAATGTGCCAATAAGTGGAGCCTTGCGCAAACATACGCACACAAACGTACATCCCATATTAAATTTAATCATAATAAAACTACTACTGCCTCTGACTATTTTCACAACAGCAGAATAGAATATTTTTATTGAATCATTTTAAATATACGCACCAGGCCATCAGTAGAAATAGTAGAATGTATCGAAAAGATGATATCGTGGCAAGTCTCAACGCTGATAAGCAGATATAAGAGAGATGACGATTACTTCGTAATTAATAGCGTGGACTATCATCTTGAGGACCAGGTCGAAGAAGAATTCGTACTATTCGATCAAAACGGAGAAATTTTCGACAGTCTGCAAATTCACCATCTTCTACGGACACTGACCTGCGACTGCTTACGAGATATGGAATATAGCACTACATCCGTGAGCATCTGAAATCCCACTTCTACTTGGCAGGCCTCAGTGAGGAGCTATATGTTGACTGAGGAATACCAGACCAACCAATTAGATCAATTATTTCAAATAATAGGAAGATTGGATGGATAAGTACAAACGAGATGTTTATCTCCGTATTCATCATCTGGCACTTAAGATATGTGCATCTGATGTACTATGCCGGTGAAATTGAAAAGTGACAGCATAACTTTGATGTGGGAATTGATTCTATTGATCAAAAACTGTGGATACGTTACGGTTTCGTCGTTAGTATAATCCTGACCTACCTTCTACTGCCCTTAGAGGTCTTTCGCAAAGTAGATATAAACTACTCCCGTATATAAATCATGCGACTATCAATGAGAAGAGATCAGTTAATTTAGGTAATTAATTAAGTTTAACAATATCAAGTAAAATCTTATTAAAATCACGATGTAGTAGTTCTCAGCTAAACTCTCAAGTGAAATTTTAAATGAAACAAGTAAAAACATTATATTCGGGCAAAGTCGCCATTTAGATATCCTATTATCCTATTACTGTGGAACTATTGTCACCACAAATGCTAATAATGAGCCTTTGTTGCCCCATCAACGCTTACGTTTCATGAACACGGGAAATTACGATTGTGGACCAATTTTCACCATCAAGTATTAAAAATGTTTACTTTTCATAGGAATCCCTTGGAGTCGGCTAAGATGCAAATTTCGTGTTGCTGAATCAATTCTCAATCTGAAATATTAGAAATTAAACGGTTTTGACATAAAAGGAGTTAAAAAACATCAGGCCATTCATTTCAATTCATCATATCAACTTAGTGTGTCGAAATACTATTGTTCACTGTTTGAAGGCATATGAATTGCGCTATGTTGTCTCAAGCTTTCTCCTACATTTAGTTTACCGCTGAGAGGATGATAAGACGTCGCATGTGCATATTAAACGTAGAACGAGAAAACGAGAAGTCAAGTCTATCAATCTCAGTTTGCAAGCAATCATAGAAAGAATATATATACTCTTGTTGAAGCTTAAGTTAAAATAAGAAAAGTCAAATATAAAAAAATCTATTATATTGAAACACAATAATAATAGTCTTATACGAGAAAAGTTAACACAGATATCACGAATTAAGAAGAAGAATAAAAAAAATATGAAAATATGAAAAAATTGGCTCTTGTATTAGTCATCTCATTTATTTATGTGTGGGAAATTCCAAACTGCTCGCTGGCACGTAAGTTATTCTTTTCTGCTATTATCTTGATAATATATAAAAGAGGAAAACAAGTGAAATATTAAACACATTCTAAACTATCAGGTGAACCGTTAGAGAGTTTTTAAAATGTTTTTAAAACACTCGATTTTTGAACGATTATATGGTATTTCCCGCTTTTTCTCGGAAACACGGTAGGCATCCATAAGAATGCATATTTCAATTTGTTTTGCCCAAGACAGTACAGTACGTTTGACAGATAGATTTCATACTCATTGTGCGGCGAGTGTTTCTTATCACATCATTCGTGGAGAAGCAAAAACAAATCTAAAAAGTTGTAATTCACTGAATCGATGCAATAGGCATTTATATTCGCTTGGAGTTTTTCTTATAACAGTTTGCTGTTGTCATCATGTGAAAAGGTCGAGGTATGTCCATACGCATTATAAAAATATCGCATTTTCTTATAGTTCAATGGGACCTTGTAGATAGATTTACGACGATATACATTCATGAACACAAGAACGAGAATATCAAGTAGCCGTAAAGAATAATGTAAAAATTCCATTTGCTTTTCCGATTCATGAAGTTGCGTCTTCCCTATTATCGATGAATAATTATTATTACTTGTCTGTCTCAAGTTCAATAAATATCAGTTTTTTTTTTTTTTCATTAAAAATTGTATATGAAAACCAGTTTTGTTTGTTTTTTAAATAAATAAATAACATAAATGATTTTGAATTGCTGACAACGCTACTCACAAGCCTGAAGAGAACGCTAAACGAATATGCTTTAATACTTTACTCGCAATCGAATCGGCTGAAGTTTTTCAGTCTTAATTTCGAGGTTAGCTACAAAAAGAAATTGCACCATGCATCTCATTATGAAGTAAGCAAAAGCTGCACCGGGCAATAGTTCCATTCGTTTGACAAGTGAGAACACCAAACTGAACCGACAAATATTTTATGACACGTTCACGGAGAAGCTCGCCAAAATTGTGCACTTAATCGGTTATCTCGGAAACATTGCCGTGTTTTTCAAAAGGCAAAAATTGTTAATAAGTTACGGATAGGTCCTCTATAGGTATAATGCCGAAATTCGAATCTCATTTTTCACACAATTTGATCCGCTAATATAGATGTCTTTAAGATTGCTCGCATGGACTTTTTTCCTGAAAGGAAGCAAAATTTTGTACGTCTTGAGTTTCATTTCAGCTAACATATCTGCTTTCTTTTCTTCTTCGCAAAGAATAGAAAACGGATGAAGCAATCTTAGATATCTTTAAAATGTGTACAATACGTTATTTTTGGAAAAATTAGAAATAGTATATCCGGGCGAAGAAGCAGATGTGTCCTATGTTGCGAGATGTACAACACCGAATCGCGAGCGTGCTTTTTGTATCAATTTAGAAGATTGCCAATATCTGTATAATGTCTTGATAACGGTGCCCCTCAAGGATTCCGATCGCCTTTATCTAAGTCGTAGCCAGTGCGGGTATCGAAATGGCAAAGTATTGGTATAAACGAGCGCATTTAATCTCTTTTTCTCATAAAATCTAGCAAAAATTTTTTTTAATTCAATTAGATTTGTTGCCCCGAACGTTATAGGCAAAATGTACAAACTACAACCCTACCAATTACTTCTCCTGTGAGTAACCTTCTACCAGACACAAGCCAGTGTGGTAACGTGTTGTCCAATCGCATTTATGGCGGTAATAAAACAGGCATTGATGAATTCCCTTGGATGGCTTTGATTGAGTATACAAAGGGTAAATCTCTTCCTTTTTTTTACGTTTTTCACGTTAATTTCTTTTGTTTCCTTTTTATTTATTTATAGGCAATAATGACAAAGGTCATCATTGCGGTGGAACTTTGATAAGTGACCGTTATGTCATTACCGCTTCACATTGTGTTAATGGTCCTTCAATACCCACCGATTGGCGCCTAACAGGTGTTCGTTTAGGCGAATGGGACACAACTACAAATCCTGATTGTGAATTTGATGTTCGTGGTAATAAAGATTGCGCTCCAGAACACTTAGATATTGCTGTGGAGAGTGCTTTACCACATCCTATGTATGCACCAAACTCGAGAAATCAACTTCACGATATTGCCCTGCTGCGTTTGGCACGTAGAGTTACTTTCACCGATTTCGTCAGACCAGTGTGTTTGCCTTTGGACGATAATTTAAGGGCAGCAAGTTTTGGTGGCATTGTTATGGACGTTGCAGGTTGGGGTAAAACTGAAAACGGGTCTTCCAGCACAGTGAAATTAAAAGCTCCCGTACAAGGTCTCGAACCTGAAGAATGCCGTCGAATCTACAGTCGTCAAAATATACACTTAGGGGATAAACAAATTTGTGCCGGCGGCAAGGAAGGCGTTGACTCTTGTCGTGGCGATTCGGGGGGTCCATTAATAACACTAAACAAAAGCAACAGGTTAAGAGCCATACTTATATTGCCGTGTATATTGATAAGATGAAGTGTTTCATGAATTTAATTAATCCTTTCGTTTATTTATTTTTAGGATAAGATCTAATTACTTTTTGGCCGGTATCGTGTCGTTTGGCCCAACACCTTGTGGTTTAGAAGGCTGGCCCGGAATTTATACTTGGGTCGGCAAATACGTTGAATGGATTATACAAACGATGAAGCCGTAGCATGCACGTCCACAGTCTTTGATAAATGCTATTAATTTTTTTTGGATTTATTTATTTTTACATCTTTCAATACAAATAAATAAATAAATTTTTCAAGAATAATATGCATTAAAATATAAAATTTTTATTATTAATTTAGCCAGAAAAATAAATTCTAAGACTAAAATATTAAAGAACTAACGTTTAAGGCTATCGGTTTTATTGAAAACTCTATCGCAGTTAAGATTGGAACCCACGATCATTGAGTTGCTAATCGGGGGTCAGAAAATGCGTAGAGATGTTGAGACGTTCTAAAGAAGACACTGATCTAATTTATAAAAAAGTATATTAATGATAAGAACGCGCCAATTGCTTTATGTCCACATTTTTAGAATAAGATAATCGTTGTTAAATGGAGTTTCATTCAAATATGTTTTATCTGGACAAGTTTCTGTCTGTTTGGACAAGTTTGAAAAGAGGCGCAACCCGGATACAAAGCAAAAGACAAGAAATGACATATGTCCTTCCTTCTATTCATTGCGTATTGCTCCTTCCTTTTGATGATTCTGTGAGCGATGCGTTCATTCTCATGACAAACACTCGGAAAACAACCTCTTTTCGACTCTGAAACACGCGAAAAATAATAGCTAAAAGTGAACGTTTTTTGAATAACGCGCCTTCCATTATCTTCAGCTTTTAAGCATTTAATTTTACTAAAAATGGCGCCAGATAAAGTCATAAGCCTAATAATATTAATGGTACACACGATAAGATACGAGCAGTAGGTGAAGACAATTAATGGTCGTTTTATTTAACTTTACGATTTACTTCTTGTTATCTTAATATTACTCGTAATCCACTCGGTGTAAGAGCTAATGCGCATATAAACACCTGGAAGATTGGATTGGCCGCAATTAGTGCTGGGACCAAAAGCGACAATTCCCACCAGCGTGCAGCGATTAAAACTATTGATCGACATAAAAGGACCGCCGCTATCACCTAAAAAAAATCGTTATATAACGCATAAGTCGAATGTTTGGTAAAATTTATGTTAATTTCAATAATAAAATTATTTACACAAGTTGAAAAGGATGTCTTCCAGTAAGAAATTCTTCAATTACGTAAGCCATGGCCACATATTTTTGCGATCACAATCATGATAATTTTCTTTAATATACATATATGGTCCGCAAATTAGGAACGAAGTATTTCAGTTTAACGAGGGACTAGGAGTTGATTTACCCAAGTAATTCTCTCTTTTTCTTGTTTCTTTTTGTTATACTCGACCATCTAATACAGAAACTCTAGGCGATTAAAGTAAGAGACCCTTAAAAAGCCGAAAGCAAACACTAAAAACTACATCAGGGAAAGAGAGAGAGAGAGAGAGAGAGAGAGAGAATCGATCGAATACTTTATGATTTAAAAATCCTACGTAAAAGTAGTTTCTACAAGCCTAGCCTTCTTCCTGATATGGCAATATCCTGAGCATTACGTTAAAAACGCGAGTGGTATGCTAAACCTGGTCAGAAGTAAAAGAAGCGAATATTGTGCCTCAAATGGCAAACAAGTGCAGGGGAAAGTAATTTATTATATCAAAAACGATAGATATTAGTCGGTGTGGTACCCGTTGAAGTTCAAAAGTGCACGGGTCTCTTTTATTTATCAGATCAATTATTTTATTCACTTGCCAGTTGCTATCTCTAATAAGTCAACAAGTAGGAGACCAAAAATTTCTCTTAAAGAATTACTATCGCGTTAACATTGGGGAATGGAAGTTGCAGAAACAAAACCATCCTAACTTTCGGTCCTTAAAATCAAGCCACCCATCTTGTTGGAAGAAAATGCAAAACCTATAATTCTCCCTCTGCGTTCCTAACAGGTATTCAAGTGGTAATAAAATCTTGTGTTCACTTGCAGTCGTCTTTATTATTAAATAAAAAAAAAACAAAAAAAGAGAGAAAAATTTACCTTCACAAACATCATTCATTGTCCGAGATTGCGAACAAAACTCGGTCGGTGTTATCACGATACTGTCCTCAAAGTTCTCACTGTATTGCGCATAACGGATAGCACATTCCGTATTATTCATAATGGATAAGCTAATGTAACGCATATTTGTTCCTGTTAAGCCACTTGCTGAAAAAACAACGCAAAATTGGAAGTCGCCTCTTGTAGACAAAAACGTGTCAATGTGTCAAAAAAATTAAAAAAAATAAATAGAAGAAAATAGGCCGAGACATCAAACTCGAAAATTTTGTTTTCAATGATCAATAATAAATTTTAATTATAAATTGAATCAATCGTGTGTGAAGATCTCACCATTTCGGTTGCTATCTCTCCAACCAACCACTAAGCCTATATTGCCCGCCAAAGATTGGATATCAGATTGCGGTAAGCAAATCTTTTTAAAAGATTCTTCAAAAAAATAGACAACATTTTGGAATAAATTGAAAAAAACGAACAAAAGAATAAAGAGGAGGACATGCATTTCTCACCGTTTACATCATGCGGCTTAGATAATTTTAATAAGGCCACGTCGTTGTTGAACAACGGTTCATTGTAGTTGGGATGAATTAACGTTTCTACAATTCGCACATCCGTATAGCTCGTCTCGTTACCAACGCGGACGTAGATTCTTTAAGTGATAGTCTTTTTAAAGAAAATTTAAAGGAAATTAATTGGTTTTGCCTTTTGCTTACAATCTAAGGTCGTCCACTAAATTCTCCACGCAATGAGCGGCCGTTAAGACGTGTTCATCACTGACGATCGTGCCCATACAACGATAACGTATTGTCCGACTAGCTGCGGACAGAAACTAGAATAATATCAAGTCCTTTTGCAAATTCTTATAGTAAACTATTCTTTCACATTTTAATTGCAGCTAATATACGAAAACTGAAGGACAAGTCTGAAGGTGCGAATCTTTACGGAAGCCCCTGACTTTTAGGTAATTATGGAAAAGAAAGAAAAACCGAATGCCTCGTCATCTATATTATCTTTGGTCGAGAGCGTGAGTTCAAAAATTAAAACTTGCACTTGCGGTTTTAAAATGAACGAAGCCCGATGGGCGTTTTGTCGCAGCGCTTTGGTTTTCACCGTTGGGGTTATGCTTACCATGCAATTGCAAAATGTCGTGCATGATATTATGGATTAAAAACACGCCCATGTACAATTATTATTATCGGTCACAACGCGAGAAATTGAAATGACTCAGCTCGATGTCCAACACTCTAAACTGAACAATTCTGCTGCGTATTTTCTGATATTCAAATAGCTTTATTCCCTGTTTTATATATTTTTTACTATATTCTTTTATTTTTTTAGCAAATAAATTCAAAACTAATCTTTCGCTACTTACTAATATTCAAGTAAGCCAGTTTTACTATCCAAGGGTATAAAGAGTTTTCGTCTCGAGCGGTTGGCAAGAGTCCACATCCATTTTCTGGTGCCAGATGTTTATTATGTTTAGGGGGTATCGGCAAGTCGCCATGCCCCTGGGACGTATCAATCGCTTTTTTATGATAACTATGAAGGTGAAGTAGTAGCAAAATTAAAACTGGATTTTCATTACTTTCTTGGGAACTTTTCCCGTCACAATTCCCCCGTTCACCACACGGAACGTTGATTTCTTGTGCTCGTAAATATGCTTCGTAGTCATATTCGTCACCAAAAGTGGGCGGGCAATTGCGGCCGGTCTTCTCATCCATATAATTCAGTTTTATTTTCTTTCTAGCATTATTTTTGTGCACTTGGTCTTTGGGACAACACACATAGACTTCTTCCCCGTTCAACTGGCATATTGATCCTTTGATTATTGTATTAATTTTGGTGTAATTTGAAGTAGAAGCAATGAGATTTGATAAGTATTCACAGTATTTAAGTTGTACGCAGTGACAGGAAGCTATTAGTGAAGTCAGTCCAATGGCTAAAATCATATTGGAAAAATATTAGCGGACTAATGAAATATTTTATCTGCGTATTTAACGAAGTTTGTGTCTTAAATCTTTTGTATCCAATCTTTTGTAGGCGTTGTTCAACTCCACTGTGTACTGCAAGTTACACGCAAATACCGTAATTTCATTGATTCCATGTTAGATTTATCCCTGTCTTCGTGTACAGTCGACAACAATATTAGGTTAAACACAGCAAGGAAAATTAAGCATTACCTTTAAAGATTTTGACCAAAGCATGGCTTTCTAAATACCTCTAACACTCATTAGCAGGGTTAGAATGGAAAATAGCAAGGTAATGTCCAAAATTGGCCGTATTAGGCGGTTAACTTTAAAAAAAGTTTGCACATTTTTTAGCATAATGTTATGTTGGTATCGGCATTTATAGCCCTTAACTAAAATCTTGAATTTTATAGAATTGGAAATTTATTCCATTTCTTATATAATGAAGCTATCGAAGTAAATCGTTCGTTCAATATTCCCATACTGTACAGTACTGTTCCCCACTGTTTACATGTAAATCATAATTTGGAATAAATACAACTAATCTATATCATCTTAAAAATGCTAATCTATTTCCATTGTATATATTATCAAATAATTATAAACATTTCGTTAAATTTAGTTAGTTGTGTACATATATGAAAGTAAGAAAGTTATATGCAAATAGGACTGAATGTATCTTGTACGCCTATCACCGCTGATTTCATCTATTTTCGAACATGAATAAGAGGATTCCCTCTAAAATAAATGTAGAAAATTTAAGTCTCCGATGTTTCATAATTTATGAGCAGTAAGCAAATATCCAGAAATCTTTTGCTTTACTTTCAGTATACGTTTTACTTTGGACGCGTTCTGCGTGTAAGAACTTACAACGTTTTCGATGAATTTGAGCTCGATCCTTAACGAGGAGAGCATCAACAACACCCATCGGTACAGATGCTGATTATGAATCTATATACTATTATGACATCTCTGCAAATTCCTTTTGGGTCTTGCAAACATTATAATAAAATGAGTACAATGTACTCAGATCTAAGAGCCCATCACAATTTATCCATATTGCATGTCTTCGTCTTCTTGCTCGGCGTGTTGACTTCCTATCAGAATCTTTACAAAACTCCTTTAATCAAATTTTAACCTAATACCTAGAAAAACATGTGTGTATTCTCTTTTTTCAATCTATTTTCCCTCTTTTACATTATGTGAAGTACTTATGGGCCGACTCACAAAAGTTTTGAAGCTTGGTTCATAAACATGAGCTAAAAATTTATGAATATTTGTTGATGTTTGAAAAAAATATGACAGACGGACGGACGGACGTCCGTTAAAATATCACAGGTCATTGTTGCAACGAATATAACTAGTACACAATATCCCTCGCTAGTTGATTAAGTAATTATTATATGAATAGTTAGCACACCCCGTTTTTATTCATTACATACACTATCATGTTTATATTGTGTACCTTTACTTGAGTCAAATACCGTTGCAAACATGCAACAGACTAAATATACCAGGTGTTGTCCTCCGATAAGCATGTTTTACTCACAAGATTAAGCAGGAACTACGTCAAATTTTTATTTCATTTATATGCTGTGTCATTTAATTTTCAAAACAAACAAAAAAACGAAATGAATGAAAAAAAAAAAAAAAGTGCGAAATTTTATTCTCACATAATAAAATCGCAAAAATTTCTATATTCATTAAACAACTTAAAGTAGAAAATTAGCCTTAACGGAGAAAAATAACGAAGAAACGATAAGTTATAAAACCAGTTCTGAATGCACTGTAGCGTTTAACGTGAAATATAATAATAAATTTGGTACAACATTGTCTTATGAGTTTTTAAAGAATCATTGAAATCCGTGTACAACTTGAAAGCGTATGTTTTAATAACAACTAATCAAAGTATACTTTCGAAACGTTTTATAAATATGTGCAAGTTATTCATGTGAAATATGAGATTTAATTTCTTTATTATATACACAGATGAAATAATGCTCTTACATGATAACGATTAATCTGCGTATTCTGTTTTAAATTTCGTTAAACTCATTGGCGACCTTGTCTAAACTTAGCTACCTATTGTTTATTGTTTAGTGGAACCAAGAAGTTAACAATCATATTACAAATTTGAATTGGGACTTATTCATCACGTACTAACTTTCGTGAAGGAAACACATTTTTGAAAGTTTCTCATTAAACGGCATTGCACTCAATCCAATTATCGCTTATTACGACTGACATAACTAGAACTAGACTTAATATAACGCTGATACAGCGTACAGTTAGTCTCTGAAGCCAAGCTTTGATTTAATCAAGAGCTTAAGAATGTTTATGTTACATATAGTGTAATGTCGTGTTTACGGTTTTTAACGGATTTACGCAAACCGATTAGGTCCAACTCATACCCTACCGTACGTATAGAAACGCACACCTAATCATCAAACGTAGAACACGAATAAGAAACACTTTATATAATTTATGCCAACCTTTCCCAGGTTGTTTGTGTATTAGTAAGTCGGCTTGGTCCCCCGGTGCCTTCGATTTTCAACAATTTCACTTCCCGACAACCGAGCGTAATTGTTAAAAAACGATTGTCTAAGAAAAGTGGAAAAGAATTTCATTCCGCTCGTTTAACCCTAGCTATGTCATCGCACCATTTCAGTTTGCTTTTAAGACATTTAGAAATATTTCCAGTATTTGGTCGATTAATAGGTAGTTGATTTAATTGTTATAGTAATGGTGGTTCTTCCAAATTGTTGTCCATCGACGATGTTGTAGCAAAATTCCAAACGACATTTTAAACGTTCCATATTTTTCAAGTACAATTAATCCTGAAAGAGATATGTGTTGGACTGTCTTGACATTAATAGAAACTTTTGAGCAATGGGCATAAGAAATCTTTCAAAAATTATAGTTAGGAAGAGAAAGATTACGCCAATAGATGAATAAAAGTAAATAATTTGGTAACATTTTCTACATCTACTGAATTTTACAAATTCCAAATAAATTCCGTTCGCTTTCTATGCGTTTCAGTTGATGTTTTATGTCCCCAGCCGCTTTACGAAAACTTGTTTCAATTACTTGGCTTGACTGAACACTTGTTAAAAATTGACTTTCATTTCGCTAATTATCTATTAAATGCGCTTACTTTCGGGGTAAATGTATGAAACAATTTTCGTGAAGATGATTCACTTCATAGAAAGATTGTTTTCTTAACGATACGTTCGCTGAAGAAAATAAAAAAAAAAAAGAAGTAAAACGAAAATCCAAGTTTTAAAGATTTTACTTTAAATGCTTAATTGTGCATATATATATATGTATTTGTATTTGTTTATTTACTGTATATGTCAAAAATAATTAATAGAAAATATTAAAAATGCGTGCGTCTGCTTACATATAATTCTATACATGATAATGGAATGCAATTTACGTTCGCATATATATATATATATATAGATATGTGCGTGTAGGTTTTATGCATTTCAATTTCTTTTTTTTTTTTTAAACTAAAAGCCCATAATAATGATGATGATTATGAAGTTGTGTGCTGTATCTGAGCTTTAATTAGCTTTATGCCACTAGAGGAACTTCAGCATTAGTAGTAGTAGTAGTAGTAATTGCTTGTGTAACTATCGAGTTAACTGAGTTAACTGTAACTGCGACTGACATTGTTTGTTGTTGCAGTTCTTCTTGCTGCTGTTGGTCTGTTACTGTTGTTGATGCCGTTTCTTTATTAAAGAGTTGTTTATGCATTTTAACCTGTTCAACTGGTTTTTCGGTAACAACATGTGATGTGCTAAGATCAACGTCGTTTATCTTTTGCTGCTTTTGCCTTTGCTGCGTATTGTTATTATTATCGTTATTATAAATAGCATCGTCGTCATTTGGTTTGTTAGCGTTATACATAACATTCTCAATGTCATCAACCGATGTTTCTTTACCCTCTCTAAGAACCTCTAAGATTGAATCACTGAAGGAGTTCTTTTCATCACTTGACGGTTCATTAGTAACCGTTATAGATTTACCATTAACATTAACATTGGTCGTGCATGCACTTGCTGCTGCCGTTGTACTCTGAAGTCGTTTTAATTCCGATGCAATTCTTGCACCCACCTTTTCGTCGATTTCTATGATTTTTTGTTGCAACTTTCCCTTAAATTCCAACGGCCATTTCGGATGCCACTGACGAAATAATTTTATCTAAATATATAAATATGAACGTAAACAAATATTTACGCTTACAAGCAACACTTTTGCCTCTTACCCGACATTGAAATAAACTTAACGGTTTTTCATTTATTATTAGTATGTTTTTTATATCTTCAGCGATACCATTAGTATTAGTATGGCTATTAGTGTCTATAGTGTCTCGTTTCGCTGATGCTGTTGGTGATATTTCAAATGTGGCATTAGTTGCTTTCGTTGCTAGATATTCTACAAGTATTGGTATGAAATCATCACGTTGTAATTCACTCCACTCATTGAACCATTGCACGACATAACGGAATTCGCCATCAATTGTTAAATTATTCATAGACATGTTTTTTCAGAAGGTTAGTCTTCAGTTTATTATGATTCTAAACAATAAAAAAACCTCATGGACTAAGGATATTGTCGCCTTTTGTGGATATAGAATACTCTGTAACTATATACGCATATACCTATATATATGTAAAGAAAAGCAAAAAAACAAAAAAAAAAAGAATGTCGCGAACCCATTAAGTACTTTCTTATTTACGTGTAAATATATTTAATTCGCTGGAAGTGATGTTCGCTAACGTAACAGTGAATTGATTATGTTTTCCATTTTCGCACATATTTAACAAGCGCAATATCCTGCGGATGGACGGACTCACAACGTTAGCTTTACATATGTTTAACGAACAATTTCGACATTTTTTTTATAATCTATTCAAGATTTAATCAGTTTGGGTGTTTGTGCAAAAGTATGGCAACTTTGTTGGAAAAATGAAAAGAGAAAAAAATCGGCACCAGAAACACACAAATTACTAAACAGAATATACGTAGAAACGTATAAACGACTAATGTACAACTTTCTTGTGGAGATAAATGAAAATTTGTTTTTTTTTTATGGTCATATTTCATTTATGATCTCCATCGTGATTGTAATAATCACACACCAACAATAACAATTTTTTTTTTTAATAATCTCGCAACAATAAATATCGACCCTTAATATGCAGTTACAATTCAGTTGACACACATAATTTCATTATCCAAACAGAATATGGTAGTTAAGCACATTACCACTAATTGGATATATTGTTAAGTCACTTGAATTTTATGCGTATGCTTACACATATGTCTTAACTCCACAACATCAACTTCTTTAATGGCGCTGTCACTGTTGTATTCCCTTGCTTTTTGTAAAAATTTCCAACATGTACTAAATGCACATTTGTATAAAGTGCGCTTCGAAATTTATAATTTCTTCTGAACATTGCAAACTTATTAAATTGTTTCTATCAATTATATAAAATTTTTTCTTGTTGGTATTAATTTAGCTGCGTTTACTATACCAAACGACAATTTAAGTAAAAGAAGAGACTTAAAATATCCATAAGTGATTTTGTTTTCCGAGCGCACTAAAAAAGGCGAAAAGCACATATACGCTATTTTCTCTAAAGCCCGATTAGATTATACGCTTATTCTCTAAAGCGCCACTAGCCATTTGAGCAGAGCATATTTGAATGCCTTGTCTCGTTCGGCTTCTCTATTCATTTACTAACTAAATGTAAATATTGCTTTTCTGGAATTGTTTAAGAAAAAACGTACACTCCTAAGTCTTCTTCCTTGAAGTTTAGGCGGAATTGAATGCAATTTTTAGAAAATATGACATGAAAGTTTGATTATCTAAAAACGTTATTTCGTAGATATATCACTCGTTACGTTATTTCGTAAATATATTTGCGTCCCTCAATGTTTGATTCCTCGCTTAACCTTGTCGTTTTCAAGGCGGTATGCATTTAGGTAAGAAGTTTGCACAATTTTTAGCTTATTTTTTTCTCTTTTCAGAATTTTGACAAGGGCATTATTTCACAAAAGAATACCAAAATATATTATTGTAAGGTCGATTAATCCTTAGGTTTTAAATAACCAAAGCGTTGGCAGCCATATGTAACTCAGTTCATATGGTAATATGAGGTTATATGCTGCGAAGATAATTTTTTTCTTTTCTTTCAAAAAATATTCCCGGCTGTTGCGTTTTTCCTCTGCTTTTTAATATAAAATAATTCTATTTAGGGTTGGTAATAAAAGAATAGTTTCTGAATCTCTTCACAACAATACCGATCCTTGTATTTATCGCAAAATATCTTCGTTGCAGTTAATTGTCATCTCAAAAGTCTGTGAATTTCTGTGTGGCTACATCTACAAGCAAAATTTACTCTTCTTACATACACATTTATAGAAGGAAAAGTCAATAGGTGGTGAGAACTCCCACTACAAATCAATTATAATAACAAAACATTAGGAACGGCGCGGATGCCGTAGTGTGCAATCGAAAAATCAGCCTGCACATAACAATAATTTACATTACACTGAGGACGAAAGAAAGCAAATATTTGTTTTTTAATTCATAGACAACAACGAATTTACGTAAAACGCAAAGTAGGAAACCTTTTTGAGCACTGTTTTAAAACTATGATAATGTAGTATAATAAATACAAATACTTAAAAATTATAGAATGTCGACAGCAGTGGAAATGGAACAAAACAACAATGAAGACCAGCAAAAACAGTGTACTTCTGTAAGTGCTTGTTCATCGAAGGTACCGATGAAAGACAGTGGCTGCTCCCAAGAAGAGAAAATAGCTTTAGCAGAAAAATGCAAGAATGAAGGCAATGATTATCTTAAATGTAAGTGCTCGTCTGCATCGGAAAGTTATGTGCGTTTTGTGTGTAACTTTACCAAGATATATTCATTCCAGTGCATAATTCCATTAGGTGCTTTGCATCAGAAATCAAATATAACCTTTTATATTGTTGTTTAAACTAATATCCATCCATAAAAAATAATCGCAATTACAGCTAAAGATTTCACAAAAGCAATACAAATGTACACCAAAGCCATAGAATTAATGCCAAGTAATGCAATTTTTTATGCCAACCGGTCATTGGCTCATCTTAGACAGGAAAGTTTTGGATTCGCTCTACAAGATGGTATATCGGCCGTAAAGTCCGATCCTGCATATTTAAAAGGATATTATCGTCGTGCAGCGGCACATATGTCACTGGGCAAATTTAAGCAGGCTCTCTCGGATTTTGAATACGTATGTTCCACATGATAGCAGTAACCAGTCTATATATTTCTTAATTTCTTAAAAAAAAAAACAGGTATCAAAATGTCGTCCAAATGATAAAGATGCTAAATTGAAATTTACGGAATGCAATAAAATTGTGAAAATGCGGGCATTTGAGAGAGCAATTGCTGTGGATAAACCGGAAAAAACATTAGCAGAAATGTTTCGAGATTTGGAAAACATAAGTAAGTTAAATGATTAGTCCAACTCATTTGATGATTATAAATTGAGCGGTTTAAAGCAATTGAGGATGATTACAAGGGACCTGCTTTAGAGGATGGCAAAGTTACTCTGAAATTTATGCTTGACCTTATGGAGCACTATAAACAACAAAAGAAACTGCACCGGAAATATGCTTATAAGGTAAGTATTTGTGTCTTTAACTTCTTAGAAATCTAATCGTTGAAAATTTGCGGTTTCTTCGTATAATTAGTTATCTTTGCTTTTATTTTCAGATACTTTGCGATATTGATGCTTACATGCGCACTCAACCTTCTTTAGTTGATATTAATGTAGCCGGAACTTCGAAATTTACAATTTGTGGTGATATTCATGGTCAGTTTTATGATCTAATGAATATATTCGATATAAACGGTCTACCATCACCGACAAATCCATATTTATTCAACGGAGACTTTGTGGATAGAGGCTCATTTTCAGTAGAATGTATTTTCACATTATTTGGTTTTAAACTGTTATATCCTACTCACTTTTACTTATCGCGAGGTACTTAGCGCTCTTTTTATAAATGCAGTTTTTATAATGAGTTCTCTGTGAATTGAAGGTAATCATGAGAGTATCAATATGAATCAAATGTACGGTTTTAACGGAGAAGTTACTGCCAAATATACAAGCACTATGGCCGACATGTTCACTCAGGTTTTTAATTGGTTGCCTTTGTGTCACTGCATTAATGAAAAGATTTTGGTTATGCACGGTGGTCTCTTTTCCGCTAAAAATGTGACATTAGACGATTTACGTTCCATCGAACGGAACTGTCAACCGCCCGAAGATGGCCTAATGTGTGAATTGTTGTGGTCAGATCCTCAAGCTTGGAATGGTTGTGGGCCATCAAAACGAGGAGTAGGTATACAATTCGGTCCGGATATAACGGAAGCCTTCTGCAAACAGAACAACTTGGAGTATATTATACGTAGTCACGAAGTAAAAGATATGGGCTATGAGGTAACCCATAATAGCAAATGTATCACTGTGTTCTCAGCACCAAACTATTGGTTAGTTTACATTATCTTTCAAACGTCAAATGCAATAAAATTTTTCAAATTTTTGTAAAATTTACAGTGATACCATGGGTAATATGGGCGCTTTTATAACGATTAAGGGCAATGATCTAAAACCCAACTTTAAATCTTTTGAAGCTGTGGTAAGTTATAATAACACGATCAGAAATAGTATAAAATGTACCGTAATCAGCATAAAATATTATAACTGTTATTCTTTCAATCTGGTAGCGTTAGCTTTTAAAATATAAATAAAACATTATTTAAATATTAATCATTTTCATGTAGAGAGGACAAAACAATTAATGTGTTTGCATATCCTTAGAAATAATATATTTTACATTAGGCGCATTAATTATTTATTGAAAACATATCATATATTCGTAGATTATAATAAAACGAAAAAGAATAGCAGCAGTCATGTTGTGTAAAAATTACAATATTGTAATGTAACAATACACTGCAGCTGCGAAAAAGAAAATAATTTTACAAGGATGAACATTAGGATATACGCAGATACAGGGAATTTTATTTTAACCTTATAAAATTAATTTAATTTATATTGAAATTTAATGTTTATTGAAAGAAGGGTGCACGGAAGCAAGTTCCATTTGCTCATTGTATTTGACCAATTATGTGATTGGATATATTTGCATTAATCAGATGCTTTTGGTTCTATCTAGTCTTTTTTTGTCGCACTTATTAGTTTGTAGTTAAGCCGATTCAAAACAAGACTTGTAAAAGAAGTAAGGAAATTAGAAATTCTCGTCTCTTTTTTTTTGAAATTTTGACGAAATGCTTTTTGTTTTTTTCTTAATGAAAATTGTCATGGTGCGTTTATATAAACCCTAATTCCTGTTATTTAATTTGTCTTTGCAGCCTCATCCAGACGTGAAACCTATGGCCTACGCAAACAGTTTAATGAGTTTATTGGCGTAGTTATCAAAAAATCGGTTTGTTTGTACTAAAAACAAAAAGTATAAAAATCTTGAAGTAAAAAAGCCGATAAAGCTAACCTTTCAATTCAAAAGAAAGAAAAGGAAACTTTCAATGGAAAATATATTGCGATTGGAATGTCCATTGCTCGTTCTCTCAGTTAAAATAAGAATACTTATAAAGCTTTGTAAAAGAAGAAAATTTATTTTAAAATAAACACAAAAAAAAAAAAATCAATTTTATTATTATTATTTGTTTGTTTAATTAATCTCAACGTTTAAATTGATTAATTAATTTGAAAGATACAAAGCGAACCGAGGCTTCAAGCCTGCTGGAAGTGTTAATTGTCTTCTTGTATATTCCAGAGCAATATAAGCTTAATGTATGAATACAGAAGTCTCTATAAATTACACCCACCGCGCTTAACAGCAATATAGTTAAAGAGCATAAATATTTTCTCATTTACCGTGATCATCATGGAAATTAGGTGAATGAGAGTAAACGTTAGATCTGCGTGTGATACTATTCCATTCATTGCTTCTACATGAACTGGATGTACAGCAAAATGAACCACTAGTTGTGGAAAAGTTAATCCCTAGTCCGCTATATATAATTTACAATAAACACACTTAATTCATTGCATGTTCGCAAAGCCCTTGTATTCGATTCTTATATTAAGAGGATTTTTAAGAAAAAGACAACCCACATGTTGTCTTCGCAATTAAAGTTTTGTGTAAATTTTCAGTGCCCAAAATGTCGCTCGAAAGTTTCCAAGCTGACATGAAAGTACGTTAAATATTTACTGATAAAACGTAATAGGGTTGGTATTATTAAACTCTTTTGAACTTTTTAATTTCAAAATATATATAATGCGGTGAAAAATAATCGCTTTAGGGAGCTGATTAACCTGCCTTTATATTCATATGATTACAATGGCAAAATTAGTTTGCAATTATTTTTATATGAATAACTATTTTCCCAAAATATCCACCCATTCCGCGAATTTCTTTTACATTGAACGCTTTGACTGGCACTGTACACATTTTGGATATGTTTTATTTATCTGAACAACACATAATATTTTAATCAAATTCGAAAATTTTCACTTCAAAATTATAAGTTCTTTAAAAAATAAGTAGATAATAGTCTGTGTTTTTGGAATCTTTTCAAAATTTTCGGTTTATTGTTTCAAGATTTCGCAAAACTTTACAAAATTCGCTGTTTATCTGTTCTTATTTTTGGATATTTTACCATAATTTTTGATTTTTGATCAGTTCCCGCGGACTTCTCTAAGAACCGGACCACAGAATTTATGAATTGTTACCCCTTTTTAAGGTTAAGATCATATTTACGTGTTCACGGGAGGTATTAGAGAGATTCGAAAGTCTTCATGAAATCGACTTGCAGAAAAAGTAGAGTTTGTAGACAGAAATGAGGTAATTTTCTTCTTCTCTAAAACATTTAGTTATCTAATGCTACTTTTTTGCTATCAGTGGACAGCGGTGTTTATCTTTGGATCGCGCTCAAAGGTATAATTGCTCATTATTTTCCAAAGTGCGTGTGACATATCTCTTGTTTCCAACCTCCTTTAAGCAGCACACCTTGGTCACCTGTTAATGCTGAATATATTCCTTTTCCATATCAAACTCAAGACGTGCAGTCTGATGAATACCTTTCGCAATCGATAGAGGCATTGCGAGACGATGAAGGAGATCAAAGGTTTGAGGGAAACGCGGATTTTTATCCACCACTTCCAGAAAATTTGCCAATCGAATACTTAGAGCAAACAGTTGCGCCAGATTTTCAAGATATTCCAGCCAACGCATCTTTTGAAGAACTGGTGTGTATATTGGCCTCTCCCCCTCCCCCAAGGCCACAGATAGAACCCCAATTCGTAAGACCAAATTTAGAACAACTGGAGGCCTCTTTTAGGTCGGAAGCAGTTACAAGGCCGCCTACACCAAAGGAGGCGCCTTGCCCTATGGCTTTGGGTGAAGATCCATACTATATACCGCCTCCTCCTAAGGACAAGACCGATGTACAGGGTATGATTAAAAGAGCACGAGCCATTGAAAGACTTAGAAAGATTAGAGAAGAGGAAGCAGCTAAAGTGAATGCTAGGAGCAGAAAACAACTTGGTCAACCACCCAGAGCAAGTGCGCCAGCATCTAGAGCTCGTGGTGCACCTTCTAAACCTGGTGGTCAATTGCCTCGAGCAGGCCGTCCCCCGCCGCCCGGACCAGGTCGTGCACCACCCAGAGTTAGTGGTCCCGCGCAAAGAGCTCGAGGGCCACCCGTTAAACCAGCGGCCAAAGTTAGTGCTTCAACATCTAGAACTGGTGTTCAACAAGCTAAGCCCAGTGGTGCAGCCGACAAAACACGCGCTCAGTCCCGTAAAACAAGTGCTCCACCACCTAAAACTCGGGGCCCACCCCCGAAGGCAGGCCCGCCAAAACCGGGTGGTCCACCAAGAACAAGTGCTCCAGCCCCTCGAGTTGGATCTCTACCAGCTAAAACTCGTGGCCAACCCCCGAAAGCAGAGCCAATAAAACCAGGTGTTCCACGCAGAGCAAGCTCTCAAGCATCTCGAGCTGGACCTCCCGCACCTAAAATTCGTGGCCCACCCCTAAAGGTAGCCCCGGGTGGTCAACGCAGACCAACTGCTCCAGTATCCCGAGGTGGACCTGCGCCACCTAAAGCTCACGGCGTCCCTCCCAAACCAGCCAAACCTAGAGCAGAAGCACCACTTCCTAGGCGACGGCCGGGACCAGAGACTGGGGCAATTCCGAAAAGATTTGCACCTGAGAAGCAAACTGCAGATAGGAGACATGGTGAAAAGAAAAAAGGAGCGAGACCTAAGACAAAGCCTCAAGATACAAGGTATGTAGAGGCGCTCCCGCCAGCAAAGTTACCGACTCCTACGAAGCCTAAAACTCCTTCCCCGCCTCCTGGACCCACATACGAGAGTATAGTACACCGAATCTCGGCAATAAGAGCGAAAAACCTACCGCTTCAAGAATGCGTAGCAGAAATGGCGGGTATGGCTCGAGAATTAGATGTCCTAGAAGAGGCCACCGCAGAAGAAGAGGCTGCTGCACAGGCAGATGCTGTTGCGATGCAAGCAGCTTGCGAAAGAATGTGGACATCCCCTAAAGGAAGACCTTGGAAATCCCGACCGAAATTTAGAAGAGATTTGCTGGATATTTCTGCGGATGACCTTCCTCCAGAGCCTGCAGAAGAAGGTATAGATGAGTTTTTGGCGTTGGAAGAAGCCGTATATGGAGACGAAAAATTTGTAGCTCCTGAATATATAACTCAATTAGAAATGCCGTATATGCCAGAATTAGTGGAACAAATTCGGCAACTGGGTATGTACGGTGTGCCAGCAACTCCGTCGCAAGAATGTCCTGTTTCTCCGTTAGCGCAGATGGAAGGAGCAACTGTGGAAGCGATAGGAGTGGAGGAATTAGCAATGATGGAGGCATTAGCGTTAGATCAAGGTTTATCTGGAGAAATAGCGAGTGAAAGTCCAGTGTATGAGATGCATCCTGTTTTAAAATATGCTGACTACAAATTTAGGCAAGAGCAAATGGCTGAAGCCGCAGCAGCGGCAGCGATCGGAGCAGCAGCAACAGATGTTGAATTGGAAGATGAAGAATGCACCCCTCCGGCTTTGGCAGAGGAATTACAGAGGCTGCAAGCCGTAGCAGACTGGGAATTGGCGCAAATGAAGACTCCTCCGCAGTTGCAACCTCGCGAAATCGAGTATTTGGATGATGCTTTTTTCCAAGATATCGCATGTCCAGAATTCGATATAAAGGATGTTTCAGAATTTGCGTTCTCTGACGAAGCCTTGGTTGGCGCCGGGTTCGGAGAATATGAAATAGAAGAACTGGACGAAGAAGAATGGCTCATTCCTGAAGAATCTGGTGAAGCAGCTGATGTGGCCGAAGAACCGGAATGCCCTGCAGAACGTGAAGAGCCTTTATGGGAAGCCAATGCTCTGGATGTTGAATTTGGCGCACGCTATATTTCGTCAGCACTGGTTGGAGCTGGCTTTGATGAGGGTTTACAAATAACTGATATTTCTGTGCCAAGCTACTATGAAGAAAATATATCAATCGATGAAGAAGGACTAGAAGACGTAACTTCACCAGAAATTGCCGACTTATCCATGTGCCCCGTAGAAACAACGGATGAAGAAGAACCAATCTGTGAACCTGTCGAAGAAACTCCAAAGCGAAGTTTTTTAGCTTCTGTTGTTGAAACTGTAGTTGATAAAGTTAAAAATATATTTGGGAAATCTCCTAGAATTGAAGAAATCGAAGAAGAAGATCAACCGCAATGCATTAGCCTTGATTCGTCGCTTCCAAATATGTTCAGTATACCGGCAGCTGTTGAGCCGGAAACAGTGGAAGAGCCGGTTTGCCCGGTTATGGAACAGGTCCAAGTACAGCCATCAAAGCCTAAATCGCCTCCAAAGCCAAAGAAAGAAACTCCAATAAAGATACCCCCTCCTCCTAAGGATCCAAAGGATAGGAAGGCTTTCGTAGCAAGAGCACAAGCGATTCAAAAACTAAAAGAAAGGCAATTGGCTGCAGCTGGTTTACTACCACCTCCACCGAAACCTAAGAAAAAGGGCAGGATACCTATTTCCAGGTGGGTGGAGAAGCCTAAACCACAAATGAAAAGAAAGAAAGTTTTGATGAGAAAGAAGGGTTATAAGACACCACCCCCTCCTGTAGAAGGAGAATACGACGAGCCGCCACCATTCCCTCCGGGACATTATGAAGCAGTAGCTAGAGCGAGAGCTCTACAACAGTTACGGAGAAAAAGGCCGGGCCTTAGTGTAAAAGAAGCTGATAAAATAATTGCAGCTCAAAGGGTGCGAAGGGAAGCAGCCGAAGCAGAAGCTGCGCGTTTTGCGGCATTACCCGAGCATGAAAAGATAAAAGAAAGAATGGAACGTGTAAGGAAGGCTCCACGAAAAAGACGTAGGAAAGTACCACTCGATGTTATTGCCGCTATAAGCGCACTTAAAGAATCCGCGGCGTCACAATCTTGCCCACCATCCCCTCGGATGGTCTCTCCAACACAGGGTCGCATAAGTCAAGAACCTCGTGAGGAAGAATTTATTGAATTTTCACCTCTTAGAGCTCAAGAGCGTATGAGAAGATTGCAGTATGCTAGAGAGCAAGCAGCAGCACGG